GAGACGATGAGTTCGGGACTAACGAAGATCTAGAAATCAATGACGAGATCGATTCGTTCACTAAAGATAGAAAAATCATGATCCGGCAAGTGAAACTGGTGGCGCAGATAAAGAAAATGCACGAAGAGATATGCGACGCCTCTGAAGATCTTCGCGCATCGATCGTGTTTCTTCCGTTCCATAAACACCAGAGGATCGACGGGAAATCCACAAACGACGGGGAAGTTTTCCGTCATATGAATCAGAAGGTCCTAAAGCAAGCTCAGTGTTCGATCGGTATCTTTGTGGACAGAAACATAACCGGGTTCCGCCAGCTTAACGGGTCTGATTCAATACAACACGTTGCGGCATTGTTCTTCGGTGGTCCTGATGATCGTGAGGCTCTGTCTTTGTGCAAGTGGCTTACCAGTAACCCTCAGATTCACTTCACTATCATACAGTTTATCGCGGATGAATCAAAGATAGAGAAACTTGTTGGAGACGCCGTGACCAAAGAGAACAACGAAGTTTTCTTGGAGATTGTTTGTAACGATCAAACCGAAGACGAAACTGATCGAACCTTCTTAGAGGAATTCTACAACAGGTACCTTTACATATACTCTGTTTCCAGTGAACTCTGTTTCTTTAGTACTATGTTCCTACAAATATACTCTGTTTCTTGTCTTCACCAGAAATGTTGCATTTTCATCTATTTTTGACAGATTTGTAACGACGGGGCAAGTTGGATTCATAGAGAAACGTGTGAGCAGCGGATTTCAAACACTGACGATCCTGAGAGAGATCGGAGAGATGTATTCGCTGTTTGTGGTTGGAAAACACAGAGGAGATTGTCAAATGACGTCGGGAATGAACGATTGGGAAGAGTGTCCGGAATTAGGAACGGTCGGAGATTTCTTGGCTTCATCAAATATGGATGTAAATGCTTCTGTGTTAGTAGTTCAGAGACATAGACACTCATTTGATAGTTTTGTAGATGAATAGCAAATGTTCTTTTAGTTTTTACTCAAACAAAACTTCAATTCGTTTATTTTTACTTTTATAATCAAGACAGAAATCAGAGAATTAAGAATATAATAAGCTAAACAAACTCTTAATACTCAACAACAATGGCTACTGTTTAAGGATTGATCTCTTTTTTCTTGTTCTTCCATCGAATCGCAGAGACTCAAACCTTTTGTCTCAGGCAGAATCAAAACGAACAGCCCTAAACCAGACATGGTGATTCCGAAAATCGCGAAAGAAACCGAAGGTGTGTCTCCTCCAATCGAAGCAATTAGCGGACAACAAGCTCCTCCAACAACAAGAGCTTGTCTAAACATCATTGTTGCACTACTTCTCACACAAGTTGGAAACATTTCAACCATATAAACAGCCATTAGGTTGAATCCGATCCTTGCGCAGAAGAATGTCCCGAGTTCGAACACAAACGAAATGTCTGTTTTTCCGAGAATGCTTAAAACGAAACAGAGCATTCCCGATGCTCCACCGAGTAAGGTATTCACGAGAACAGAGCTTCTTCGGTTGAATCTCTCCAATAAGATCGGAGTGATAAGGAAAGTAGGCAACTCCACCAATGCGTTTAGGGTTTCGCTCAAGTAGATGTTGACGTCTAAGTCTCTAGCTGCTAAAGGAACTCCGTAATACGATATTCCCAACCCAAACATTATGATCATAACAACTAAAATCCTCCGAAAAGCCCATTTTCTGGTGAAAAAGTCATTGATCGAGTAACTTGGCACTTGTTCAGTAGTTTCTTGCTCAAGGGGTAACTTAGAAATCGCTGATTCCAAGTAGGCTTTATTCTCCGGCGACAACTTTATGAGTACATCAATGGCTTCTTTATCATTTCCTTGCATGTGAAGCCACCGGGGCGATTCGAGTGCGAAAAAGTAAAGAAAGAGACAGTAGAACATTGCTGGAACGGATGTGTATAGATAGAGAAATCTCCATGAAGAGTGTTGAGCAAGGTAAGTGATTCCAGACAAAGACATAAACCCTAAAACGAATAGGGTAAATGGAATCATCGTAGCTCTCGGTCTCCATCTAGTCGAGACTCGCTCGCTGATAAGAACCACCGCGTAGGACCAGGTCTGAGAACGCGTGAATCCGATGACAAATTTCAGGAATGCGTAAATCCATACGTTGGTCGAGAAACTGACGGAGATTGCAGTGACTGACATTGCAAAAGTTGAGAATAAAACCAGTTTCTTGCGACCCAAGGAATCATCAGGGATCAAAGCTAGAACGAATCCTCCAACAATTGCACCGATGTAGAAAGCAGAACTAGGCATACCTCTGAGTAACGAGCTCGAGCACTCGAGGCCGAATTCTGAAATGATGGATTTGCCCTTTGAGCCACCGTCCCATTCCCAAGCTGATCTTGGAAGCTTGCAGATATCGGAAACTGAATGATCGCAGATCGTGTGGTTAAGACAGTGCCACGTTGGATATGCATCTGTGAAGACAGTGATGAATATCTGTTGAGCATCGAAGAGCAAAGCGAGACCAACGAGGAAGATCTGGAAAATTTGCAAGAATCCGAAATCCGACAGGCTTTGTTCGACGATCTTGTCGAAAGTCAATTCTTGTGATCTGTTATTGCTGTTGACTTCGGAATCATCGGTGAAATGAGACAACAATGGTTCTGATGTATCGGCCATTATTGTCTAGTTTTGGAGCTTTGATATTAGTATTGTATATATAAATCTGAAATCTTGATGTGTTTCACTAAATGCAAATCTGAGATGTGAAAGCATACCGTGTTTAATATGTGTTGTCATATTTTAAACGTGCTCGTGAGAAGCATGGTTCGACGAAGTCAAAGTGGGGATTCATGATTAAAGTTGATTAGCTTTGATGCGTCTCTTTGTTAATGGCGTTCATACTATATTATTGGACGGTTCATGCAAAAAAACCAAGACGTATCATTAGGTGTTAATTTTTTTTTTTGCTAAACATCATTAGGTGTTAATTCTTGCTATTCTTTTGTATAGATAAACACAGAGGGGTGCAAAACAGAAAAATATGGATTTTTTACTGATTTTATTGAAATTTTAAGAATTTTTTTTTTAAATGGATTATACAGTGAATGTCTGATAAGTTTTGAAAGGATTTGATTCGTTAATATCAAATGTGGGGTAGGTGTTCTTCCAAGACAGATCATATTCTTAAAGATAATCACAATTATTTTTGTGTCGTCTCGTCGATCACAATTAATCGGGTACAATTTTAATGTCTTTTCTTTATATAGAAAGGAATGATGAAAAGAGAGAAATCTTTCGA